TTTAATATTCAAAAAATAAAATTGAGTCAACAAAGATGGGGAAACGAAATCTAAAACTGCATACCAATGGAAGTAAACAAGTGAGGGAAACTATAGAGTAAACTACCCACAGGACAGAGAAGGAAACCCAAGCTGGTTTTGCACACAGCTCTTTGTGCACCTTGCATTTGTAAACAGCTCACAGGCACACAAAACCTGCACAGAAACTTTGAGCTTCCTTTAGTTGGGAGTGATCTGGAGTAGCGATCCTGACAAGGTTTTTTTCTGTGTGCGGTGAGATGAAGCCAATTAGTAATTATAATGATAATGTGAAGAGGCAGGGTTCTCCCTGCGGGAGAGGGTGGGACCAATATGGACAAAGGAAGGCCTGGGCTCTGTGAGCTGGAACCTGTTTCCTGGATCTGTCTGCTGAAAGCCTCCCGGGAAAGGCACCCCAATGGCCTTCTTCCCGTCCGCATCTTGGTTGCTAAGGATCATTCTCCAGGCTCCTGGGAGAAATGGGCCATTCAGGGAGGGCAGGGAAAGTGAAAGGAGAGCCAGGAGCAGGTTGTGCCAGTGGAAAGCAAGACAATGGTCAAAGAAGGATAGACTCGCCCTGACCGGTTTGGCTCAGTGGATTGAGCATAGGCCTGGGGACTGAGGGGTCCCAGGTTCGATTCCGGTCAAGGGCATATACCTTGGTTGCAGGCACATCCCCAGTAGGGAGTATGCAGGAGGCAGCTGATCGATGTTTCTCTCTCATCGATGTTTCTAACTATCCCTCTCCCTTCCTCTCTGTAAAAAATCAATAAAATATATTTATTAAAAAAAAAAAAAAGAAGGATAGACTCAGGACAATACAGGGGCCAGCTTGACAGGACTCCCAGTGGCCACATGTGGAACATGTGAGCAGCAAAATGAGTATGGCATCCACGAATTATCCCATCGACTATAAAAGAGCCTACAAGTCCAAAGTGCTACTAAAACGCAAATAAAATTACAAATACATCAATGGGGGTAAAAGGGACAGCTCTGTTTTTTGTTTAATAGAGAGAGAGGAAGGGAGAGGGAGAGAGAGAGATGGAAACATCAATGATGAGAGAGAATCATTGATCGTCCTCCCGCACACCCCCTTCTGGGAATTGAGCCCACAACTCGGGCATATGCCCTGACTGGGAATCAAACTGGCAACCTCTGGGTGTATGGGACGACACTCAACCCACTGAGCCACACTGGCCAGGTCAGGGACACCCTTCTTCACAGCAGAATGCCAAGTAATGAATGCTGAAGGAGCAATAGAGTTCGAAAAGCTGCCATATTAAATGGTTGCTAAAACCGCTGGTGCAAGTTTGTTGGGCAATAAGCTGTTACACAGTTTCAAAGCCTTACTCCTCCACAGATGGTTAACTACAAAGGTGAAAAAGGAAGCTATCTAGCGGAAAAGCTGGTGAATACCACCTTCACCATGTGATCAAAGTCAGCATCACCAGTAAGGGACGAACTGACATCATGTGCTGGGTGCGTCCACTTGGAAACTCAGGTTGAGGGACAAGCTAAAATATAATGGGCCTGACTCTTTAAAAATGCCAAGGTCATGAAAAACAAAGCCAGAGAGAACTTAGGGACTGTTCCAGCTGAAAGGGGCCTGGAGAGGCACGACAACTCAGGAAATGTGTGACCTTGAACTGGGGAACATAAATAGTATCACTCTGAACGATGTTACGCGGGCAATTGGCAAAATGTGAATCTGGCCTGAAGAGTAGATATTATTAGCATTGGATCAATATTCAATGATCTGAATTTGGTCTCTGCAATATGGTTACATGAAAGAATGCTGTTTTTAAAACTGATTTATTGATTTGAGAGAGAGAGGGAGAGATATTGATCTGTTGTTCCACTTATTTCTGCATTCATTGGTTGATTCTTGTATGTGCCCTGACCGGAGATAGGACTCCAACCACCTGAGCTACTTGGCCAGGGCCCATAAGAGAACTGTCCTGCTCTTAGGAAATACTCCCTGATGTACTTAGGGGTGAACAGTCATGATTTCCGAAACTTAATCGCAAATGGTTCAGAAAATAAAATCAAGTCTGTTATACCTTGTACCGCTGAATGGATATCCCACTATTTGCATACTATGTTCCTTACTGTGGAGAATTTAAAAATTTGAACTAAAAAATTCATCCCCCTTATAAACCATGTTGCTATCAATATCTTCACAAATAGAATTTTTCTTCTTGAGTTGTCGATTTTTAGGATAGATGCCCAGAGTTATGAATACCAAATCGAAGCGTGTAAGTGTTTTTATGACCTGAAGAAGAGAGTACTAATTCAAGAGGCCAGGAGGGCTGGTGTAAATAGAACATTGTGTGTATCCCGGGAGGTGAGAGCATAGCCCACAAATAGCAGGAAATAGGAGCGCAGCTGTGCCAGCGACTGTGCAAAGGACTCTCGGATTACCAGAACGCCCACACTGAGCTTACGAAGCCTTTTCGGTTAGCAACACCCCTGCCACTGTTCTAGACTCGGGTCTATTCCAAGCCACCATGCCCTAAATTTAGACGTTGGACAATAAGGGAGTTGTGATTAGCTGGCTCGTTGCCTCTAGAGCAGCGTTTCTCAACCAGTGGGTCGCAACCCCTTTGGGGGTCGAACGACCCTTTCACAGGGGTCGCCTAAGACCATCGGAAAACACATATATAATTACATATTGTTTTTGTGATTAATCACTATGCTTTAATTATGTTCAATTTGTAACAATGAAAATACATCCTGCATATCAGATATTTACATGATGATTCATAACAGTAGCAAAATTACAGTTATGAAGTAGCAACGAAAATAATTTTATGGTTGGGGGTCACCACAACATGAGGAACTGTATGAAAGGGTCGCGGCATTAGGAAGGTTGAGAATCACTGATCTAGGGGATTCTCCTGACGAACAACCACAATGTAAAATTTTGTGCTTCCAGAACCTCATAAATCTCCGAGGCAGTTGTGAAAATCAGTATGAATCTAAAATGTTTTTAAAAGTGTTTGGGCCCTAACTCGTTTAGCTCAGTGGATAGAGTGTCAGCCTGTGGACTGAAGGGTCTCAGGTTTGATTCCTGTCAAGGGCACATACCCGGGTTTCGGGCTCTAGCCCCAGTAGGGGGCATGTAGGAGGCAGCTGATTGGTGATTCTTTCTCATCATTGTTGTTTCTATCTCTCTCCCTCTCCCTTCCTCTCTGAAATCGATAAAAATATATTTTTTAAAAAGTGTTTAGCCTAAAAGACATTGAGTTGAAAAAAAAAATAAAAAGAAATACGGGTAATGGGAGTGTAAATTGGTATCACTACTTTGGAAAATGGTTCAGCGTTAAATTTTAACACTGAATTCGAGTTCGGCTCAGTAAGTCCTCTCCTAGTCCATCCCCAGAGAAACGCCTGCCTGTGGGCTCCGGAGACAAGAAGGGGATGTTCAGAGCAGCATGGTTTGTCAGAGCAAACGGGAAGTTACCCAGTGTCAGCCGCAGAGCAACGGCCAAACAAATTATGGTACAGTCATACGACAGAACATCGCACAGCAGTGGAAGGGATACAGAGCAGCTATGCACAGTTATGTGTATGACCCTTAGAAGCACTGCCTAGACAAAAGAAAGGTTCAGAAGTTTACTTCTTTTTGTTTATTTATTTTGCTCTTTATATTCCACATATAAGGGAAAGCATATGGTATTTGTCTTCTATCAGAAGACAAAATGATACGACATTTGAGGTCCGAAGTTTGGGCTTATGTTTCAAGAGTCTTAGAAAGGTTCATCCACAGCCTTTGGCCCACTTATAGGAGGTAGGACTGCATCTTAAACAATGACCAGAACGGTGGCTGCAAACTTCTGTGTAGGACCGTCCACTTCCGCATTATAGAAGCAAAACTGGGGAAAAACAGCCCAGCACCAGAAGACTTCCACAAACTGGAACGTTTTACAGCCATCAAAGACCCTGTTCCTGCAGACTTGCTTATGACCACCCTGAATTTCTTCTCCCCTGTGCACAGAAGCCTCAGCAGTGATGGGAGCCCTCAGCGTGAGGTTTCCTCTGACCTGGTGACGCTGTAGACCAGCGGTTCTCAACCTGTGGGTCGCGACCCCTTTGGGGGTCGAACGACCCTTTCACAGGGGTCCCCTAAGACCATCGGAAAACACATATATAATTACATATTGTTTTTGTGATTAATCACTATGCTTTAATTATGTTCAATTTGTAACAATGAAAATACATCCTGCATATCAGATATTTACATGACGATTCATAACAGTAGCAAAATTACAGTTATGAAGTAGCAACGAAAATAATCTTATGGTTGGGGGTCACCACAACATGAGGAACTGTATTAAAGGGTCCCGGCATTAGGCAGGTTGAGAACCACTGCCGTAGACCACCCACGAGCTCTTCCCCAGGTCAGACATGGCCCCTTCCTCCCCATGCCCAGTCTCCCCATTGAGTGCGCCCTCCTCTTTGGGGGAGCCTTGTATTGACACCATGGGGCAGCCTGGGTCCCAGCACGGAATCCTGAATGAATCCCCTGTTCCGCCCAGAGGGGGAACCTCAAACCCTTGCCTGAACTCGGAGTCTCCAGAGCGCAGCGGCAGGGTTGACCCCTGAGGGCACAGGAAGGTCTCAGACAATGAAAGGAGTAACATGGGGAGCAGCAACCCGCTGAGTAAACCCACGCTGGGCACCTGCCTCCCCAAACATCCCGCAGGAGCAGCGCGACTCACACTTTAGCCACTTTCACTGTGAGCCAGGGATCCAGACAGTGTGTGTGTGTGTGTGTGTGTGTGTGTGAGAGAGAGAGAGAGAGAGAGAGAGAGAGAGAGAGAGAGAGAGAGAGAGAGAGGAGGGGAGGCAGGCACGTGGTGCCCACAGTGCCAGGAGGGTGCCACCGCAGAGGACTTTGGGAAGGGGTCGCACTTGGCGCAGGGTCTGGCGGGGCCTCCCGAGGGGGCGGCCTGTGGACGTTTGAGGCCAGACCTCCGGGCGGCGGGGCGGGAGGCAGGCCCGGTGCCCGGGCAGCCAATGGCGGAGGCCAGCGCAGCGGGAGGGCGACTCCGCCGCCGGGCGCCCCGCCAGCGCGTCCAGCGGAGCCAGGCCGGGCTGCAGCGCTGTCAGGATTTGGGGTGGCGGCCCGGCAGGGGGCCCCACGGAGGAGAATCCAGAGCTGGCCGTTCCCACGCCCTGTTTCCCACGCCCCTGCTGCCTCCTGCTCCGTCCTTGGCGACGAGTCCCCCGCCCCCTTCGGGCGCTTCTCGGGGGCGGCCGCCCACTCGGTGCAGGCGCGGCTGCGGGACTGCGAGGCCGGGAGGCCGGGATCGCGGCGCTGGGATCCGGGCTCGGCCCACAGGTACGTGCGGCGCCCATCGACCCCGGGGGTCCGTCTCCCCAGGAAAAAGGAGGTGAGAGGGGCGCGGTGCCAGGGCCGCGGCTCCCCGGGGCGCAGGCGCTTGCTGCTCGGTGGGTTTCCTAAGAGGAGGCCAGATTCCGCCTTGGATGCCGCTGTTTACCCCCCGCCCCCCACCCCTGGGAGATGTTTGTGGGAAGGAACGGTCTAACCAAACCCCGCGTGCTCCTGGCTGCTCTCCTCACGCAGGGGTGCGAGTGGGGGCTGGGAGCACCTCCCCGGGGCCGACCGCCTGCAGAAAGCGGCTGGTACAGCAGCTCCAATCCGGCGGGAGCGGGCTCCTTCTCTGCTGAAGGCGCCTTGTTATAAACACGGAGCGTACTCCGCCCTGTGGCTGCCGAGTTGCTTCTTCACTTCTCTCCCTATTCCACCAGATTTGCTGTGGTTACAAACCGCCTGCAATGCTTTCGGGGCTAAGAAGTGGGGTTTGCATAATCATCTTTAAAAATCTCGGTTTGACCTGCAAAGCAAGGGCCACCAACAGGGGGCGCTGCCGCCTCGCCGGACCGCGCCCTGGAGTCTCCCCACCGAGCCTCGGGGACCGACCGCGAGGGAGCGAAGCTGTGGGCCGGGAAGGTGGGGGGCTGTCCGCTGTCCGGAACCTTCCGCTCGGTCCTCCCACCCCCTGTTCCCACCAGACTGCTTCCCAGGCCCGTGACATGTCCGGCAGCAAAGGGTGATCGGAGGCAGGACTGCTTGTTTTGCTTAAGCAGTGATTGGCTTTCACTAAGCACGGAAGCGTCAGTTCCGAAGGGAAAATGTTCAGGGTGGTGGCGGGGGTGGGGGTGGGGGGAAGAGAAAGTGCAGTTGTCATGTGACTCGTCTGCCCCTTTTCACGGAATTTTGGGCCACAGGGAGGGTCTCTGCGGGGTGGAGTCTGCTTCTCCGTGGCTCTCTCCCTGTGCTTCCCGCCAGGACACTGCCTAAGGGCCCGTTAGCATTTGACCCTTTCGGGCCCTTTGATTTCCAGCTGTCCCTGGATAGCCCTCTGCTTGTCCCTGTGGTCTTTTTTGCCCCCAGATATGCTCAGGCCAGGGTTCCACCCAGCAATTCACAGGGCTGCAGTTTATACTCAGTTGAAAGGTTTTTTAAAAATATGTTTTTATTGATTTCAGGGAGGAAGGGAGAGAGAGAGAGAAACATCAATGGTGAGAGAATCATCCATCAGCTGCCTCCTGCACTCAGGATCGAGGCCACAACCTGGGCATGGGCCCTGACCGAGAATCAAACCATGACCTCCTGGTTCATAGGTCCACGCTCAACCCCTGAGCCACGCGGCAGGGCCACAGCTGAATATTTGTCCTCTCTCCTACACACAGGGTCCTACTTTGAGTTTTCTAATTAGTGTGATGGGCTCCATTCAAAGCTGCAGCCCAGGGCTTGACACTGACTTCACTCCGTTGGGAGATGGCATAGCCGGAAGGGGTATTTCGCCTGGTAGAGACTTCGGGCACCGCGACTGGCCCCTTGAGGACGGTTCCTAGGCAGACAGCTTTGCTGTGCCTGGGAAAGGCATGTGGTCCGCGGGAAAGGGCCCCGCTTTGTGTGGGCCGCACAGCCTGAGTGTCCTGCGCTGTTACAGGAGGTACACCCACCCCAGCGAGTACCCTGAGGGTGGGATTGCCTTGCCCTCCGCTTCCTGTTGACTTTGTGCGGGTGGCTGTTCCTCCATCAGAACAGTTAGAGGTCACGCACAATGAGGTTTCTGTCCACAGCGGAGCATGTGATGATGGTCCCCTAAAATCACAGTGGAGCTGAAAGATGCCTGTAGCCCAGTGACATTAGCTGTCATAACCTTGCAGCTGCCCTAAGATACTCAGGTGTCTGCGGTGATGCTGGTGTGCACACACCCACTTCGCTGCCCGTTGTCCAAAGGTATCGCACCTGCAGTTACGTACAGTATGTAATACTGGGCAATGACTGTTACTGGTCCATATATTTACTATACTACACCTTTTATCATTATTTTAATGTTTTCTTTCTACTTACTAAAATTTCTTTTTGCTGTGTAAACAGTATGCCATTCCTTGGGCAGCAGACCCACCCATCTCGTGATTGCCTCATTTTTTCTTGTGCTTGATTTAATCTCGTGTTTTATACAGTGACATGCTTACGGGCTGTTCCCTATAGTGTGTGTAAGGGCACACTGTGTTGTTTGTACAACCATGGGATCACCTCAACACCTTTCTCAGAACATCTCCCTGTCCTTAAAAGGGTACAGTTGGCGCAGTATGCTCACTGTCCACTGGCACCTGGTGGATGCTCTAACCCTCAAGCTGTGGAAATAGGCACCTGCCCAGGCCACTGAATGCATTCGTATGTGCATGCGTGTGTGTGGAGTCGGGGGTCAGGCAATATTTGAACCCAGAATTCCTGACTCCAGACTGTCGCCTCTATTGCTTAACTATGCAAACTGCAGCTCACGCAGGCTCCCCCCGGGGCTGCTGCAGGGGTGGTGGGAGTTGGGGTTTTTACCTCATTTTGGTTGTAAAGGTTGTTGTCAATTTCCACATTCATTTACTTGACCTCCATAACTGGCCCTTTAAGACCTTACTTCTGGAAACGAGACAGAGTCATTGGAAGACAAGTGTCCGTGGAGCAAGCAGAGCTCACCTGTTTGGGTCACTTCACCTTCGTTGAGGTGATTTAGACCTTTGAGGCTGCCGAGTGCTAAGTGCCGTGTGTGTATCTCTCTGTGTGTGTAGCTGTCTGATCCGTAATGGCCCCAAGTGCAGGTCCTGTCTGATGGGCAGGAAACTGCTCACAGATGGTGACTCCCCTCCCCCAACCAGGAAGAGATTCTGCCTGGGATGTAAGGGACCACTCCCCTCTGCTGGATGAAGATAAATTTGCTCCCAATGAAGAAAATTCTGTGAGCGCCTCTTTCTAGCGGCCAACTGAGTGAAAGAGATAAGTGTTACCTCACTTTACAAGTGGGTGTAGGAGCCAGTTTCCGAAACTTTTTATTAAGCGCCTACTGTGTGCTGGCACAGTGCTAAATGCCAGGGATATGAAGGTGAATACAACATTACTGCAAATCAAATCCTGGTAAAGTGAATCACATTGTCATTGTATTGGGATCCCAGAATTTCAGAGCTCGAGGGGGAAGGTGGAGGTACCATCAACGGAAAGAAACAGGGTTTCGGGTGGAGAGCAGTTGGTACTCCAAGAAGACCGAGCCCTAGGTCGACGTGGAAAGGAGGATGTGATGCCATTAACAGAGATAAAGAAATCACGGTAAAGAGGTAGTTTGTGGGAGAAAAATGCATTTCGTTTTACTCATGCTGCTTCTGAGATACCAACAGAATATCCCACAAGAGATATGCAGAGGGTGAGTATGGCATTGGAGGCTGGGAGAGGCCAGAGTGGCAGTGAGGGCCTGAGATCACGCCCTGAGGGGTGGCCGCTGAAACCCGGCAGGCAGGCAAATGGAACCCGCCGAGGAAGAGAACAGGTGAGGTTCGATCCTGGGTTTCCGCACCAAAAAAAAAAAAGAAAAAAAAAAAGAGAACAGGTGAGGGCAGCAGCTGGCCAGACTCACTCACACCCAGCGGTTCAGAGGGTGAGAGACAGGCATCCTGAGAACTGGATGGTTTAGTCTCCTTGGGCTAATAAGGCGGCTTATTTCCCCACAGTCTGGAGGCTGGAAGTCCAAGATCAAAGTGTCGACAGGGTTGGTTTCTTCTGACTACTAAACGCATGTACCATAGATTGTCAAATATTCAAAGAAAAACTCTTCACATTTTATAGTTTTTTAAAAACATATATTTTTATTGATTTCAGAGAGGAATGGATAGGAGAGATAGAGACACTAATGATGAGAGAGAATCATTGATCAGCTGCCTCCTACTGGGGATTGAGCCCACAACCCAGGCATATGCCCTTGACCGGAATTGAACCTGGGACCCTTCAGTCTGCAGGCCAACGTTCTTTCCACTGAGCCAAACCATCTAGGGCCACATGTTATAGTTTTTGCCAACAAAAACCTCATGATTTCAAATAAGTACTTCAATGACCTTTTCTCAGAAGGCACTTTAAATAGATGGTCATCCTTGAGTCCCTGGGATCTCTGAATATCATTTTATTAAAAAAAAATATTCTTATTGATTTCAGAGAGGAAGGATATGGGAGAGATAGAAACATCAATGATGAGAGACTCAATGATTGGCTGCCTCTTGCAAGCCCCACACTGGGGATCGAGCCTACAACCCGGGCTTGTGCCCTGACCTGAAAATCGATCCATGACCTCCTGGTTCATAGGTCAGCGCTCAACCACTGAGCTATGATGGCCAGGGTCTCTGAATATCATTTTAAATTCACAAACTTGTCTAGCAGTCCAACACTGTTTTGGAGGGAACAGATTCTTTTATTTATAAAACAGAGACTACATACTTTAACTGCTAAAAAAACGAACTGTTTACAATTACAGTTATTTAAACTTCAGCTTCTACTCATTCCTACTAAACTGGGATTTTTTAAATTTCCGAAACAAACTAATCCTTCTCAGCTCTGGCCTCTGGCCTGATCAGCATGCTGACTGCTTCCCATGTTCAGAGAGAGCTAATGTCAATGTGATCGACTTCCTCTGGGGACGAGCTGTCATGTATTGAACGGGGGACAGGACAGCTTCCGAGGGGAGTGATCTTCTCTTGGTTCACACTCTGCCTTGTCCCCAGACCATCACTTCCGGGACATGCCTAAGGGCGGGAGAGTAGAGGCGGGGGTCTGGGAAGGCTTTTCTTAGAGCGAGCCTGTCCTTCTGGTGGGTAACTGAGGTGGTCTTCAGTTGCTGCCTGGTGAGTGCACTGTCTTCCCTGTAGTGACAAAGTCTCATTTTGAAATTCCTAGTCTGTGGTCTTCTTCTCCACAATTTAGAAGACTCTTGTTAAGAGTCTAGACCAGTGGTCGCCAACCGGTGGTCCGTGGACCACTGGTGGTCCGTG